GCAGTTCTTGTAACAATTTTTCCTCTCGAATATCCGGCTAATTATCGTTGCACGTTGCACTTTGGATGGACGAAAAATTTCGTACTGTTCGATAGGAAATGATTTTTGTACGATATTGAACGGAGGTTTTAGCCTTTTTATACGAAATAATTCGGAGTTATTGTAAACATAATTAATGAGATAACAGTGGAAGGCAATTTGTTTGAAGTTAAATGGTAAATGTTACATGTATAGAGTGTCTCAGAAAGAGATGGATAAATTGAAATCTTTAAAAGGAAAAACACTCTATTCGGCATACAAATGCTTTTGTTTTTACAAGTCGTATAAGAACGGTTAATTAAAAATATTATTTTTCGTAGATAGTAATATTCAAACGAAGAAAATATTTCGAATCGTGACCTTTTTTTTTTTACCTTAGAGTTCGATCATGTATTTTTTAAAACATTTCTTACATTATCTTGTCGAATTTATCATCATTTATTATTATTCTTTTCAATTGAAGTATTGACGTGGGTAAGAAAGGGTTGGATACGTTTCGTACGATGGAAGTATCCAAACGTGGTCGTCGTGGAGGAGAATAGCATTCGTACGATCTTGGATCAATTTCGAAATCACGTAGGTTCAAACCACTGTACCGATTGAATTTCTTTCATTTCAATGTTATACGTTTACAGCTATTTTTTCTCTCAAATTTAGGGGATTTATACTTTGCTGATTCAAGGCCACTCGATCGCAGATGGTATTCGCGTTCACTTAATACATCTGGCTTCATGCAGAAGACTTCTTCGAGCAGGATTGTCTACAAGATGGGGTCTTTACGTGTGGAAGGATCTCGATCAGTTTTCCGTGGACAACCACTTGTTAAATTCACCATGTTCTTATAGAGGTCGACCCATCACAGAGTCCAACATTCAGGTCGGTTTTAAAAATTCAATTTTTTCATTACTACTTAATATTCTCTCCTTTGTATCATGTTCAAAACGATCGATACTGTTTCCTGCTTCTAACTTTTAGCAAAACTATTTTTCTATCAGACTCTATACCTTCCTATAGAATTTCTCGTCTGTATTCTTCTCTATATGTATACAAATACAGAAGCTGAAATAAGACGAAAATCAAGAATACAAAAATTGCGTTTGAGGCTTCGTTTTTTAGTTATTAACGTTTAAAAATATCCCTGTAGCCGAGCAAACCGCCCTACACCAACGAATGCAGGGCATATCAAGACCCGAGGGGTACAGTGATGCCCTATTTATATTCGTTGGTGTAGGGAGGTTTGCTCGGTTACAGGGATATTTTTAAACGTTAATAACTAAAAAACAAAGCTTTAAATGCAATTTTGTTATCGTTGATTTTCGTCTCATTTTCGCCTGTAGAATCATTCCTTAAATTTTCTACCAACTATTGCTGAACATCGTCTACTTTCGTACTCTACTCCTTTCAACGTAACATATTCTTCTTTCACAGACTTCTTACACTTTTTCATATTTCAACTACAGTGTTTCACACGATACACGATTTCAAACGATACATTCGAAGGCAAGCAAGTCTGTAATATAGCTATTTGCAGTAGATTCATGCATTTTAGGACTACGTCAGCGAACTCACGTCGAAGTTCTTTCCACCGGGTCAACCACCGTGGCAAGTTCACGTGATAAAGTGTTACATCCGCGGAGACGACTATCAAATCTGTCTCGTGAGAGCTCATCATCTACTTCTTCGACAAGAGCATTTAGCGCTGGCCGATTTCCTTCCATTGAGATATTCCACTGACAGCTGGACCTGCCAAGAAGCGAATTCCCCTTTCACGAATCTCTACTCCGAACCATCCGCACTTCCGAAGCTCTATCAGAAGCTTACGGAGAGCTTCAGCAATTATTGGAACGAATTTCTATACAACAACGATCCAAACGAGAGGCCAGAGATTCTAAAGAAGCAGATCGGTATATGTCACTGCATAAAAATCGGCGTGATAGTTCTAGTTTCTTCGGTGAAGGAGATGACGAGGTATAGAATACTGTTCTTGAATTATGCGTTACTTTTTCTCTTTTAGTAATAACTCTTTAACTTCGGATAATTCGATTTTGCGAAATTATACTCGAGGCGATAACCAAAACGAAATGCCATGTTGCATAAGTGACAATGACTGGGTAGATTGACATTATTTAATCCCCCTAACGAGATGCAGATTTACGGACACTTTTTAGGTATCGCTACTGGGAAGTGACTGTTGTTGTGGCTAATGCTAAAAATTTTTACAGCGAACTTACGAGTGTCGTCATTTTTATATACTCTTTTAAATTTCTTTCAATTAACCTATTTTAATATTCTTTTTAAACAAGTGTTTGCACTAACCATAAATTGACTCATTGATTCAGTACACACTCTTACTACGAAGTATCAATTACATCTTTCGACTAATTCTTTCCTTTTTGCTCTAGACAGTACACAAAGCGAGAGGGGCCGAAATTTTTCGAAATCTTCTCCATCTTGCAACGAGAAGCCAACAAAAGAAACTTCAAACACACCGTGATCATACGTGCGCTATTCAAGTCTCTGAACCCTTTAGAAGTATTACACAATATCACTACATGGCTCTGGTATCTGGTAGTTATATTCATTCTGAAAACGCCGATATTACTCGTACGAGAGTTACGAGCCTTGAAATCACGTCACAAACACTACCATCCAGACACTCTAATCTCCATGCTATGGTGCTACGTTCCCCTAATATTTCAAGCCACGATGGAGGTGTTCTCTATCACGTGGATTGCGATAAAAGCGCCGAAAACGATATTCGAGGAGCTGTTTCAGAAACATCCACTAGCGAATCGACTTCAGACAACGTCTCCTTGCGGTCGAAAGGTGGTCGCTTGGTCCGAGGAGGTTGAACTCGATGTTCTTCGCAAGATATCTAACATGACGGGGGCGACGGAAGCTGAAATTTTATTAGCCACTACGGTCGACGCTCTCAAAGAGTACTTCCGGCACTCTGGCGTTAGAATACCGGATGACGTGCTTGCCACTGGCAAATTCGTCAGACAGAGAACGATATTTGTGCAGAATCACGAAGCCAGGGGAATTCTGTGTCTCGCATTACCTACGAAGACACCGTTGTTCGAAGATGATCTGGTTGAAATCTTACAGGTTTGTGTGATACGTTATTATACTAACAATTCGTTTTCTTTCTAAAAAGTATTATTAGATTCTGATTATTTCAATATCTTATTCATTCATTTAACTCTTTTTTTTTTTACTTAAGCTAAAATAAATAAAAATTTCCTATTCCTCAAATATTTATACCTGATTCTTTTGCACGACCAATTTAGCATTTGGTATCTAAATGTTTCACGATTTTTTCATTAAATCTACGTTTCGTTGGTACTTCGTTCTTCACGCGAAAAATCGCTATAATGATCTAATTACCTGTCGCAGTTGCTGAAACGTTTAACATCTGTAATTTCCTCGGCGGTTATTCAACAATTTTTCAATCCCGTTGATACTAAGTCTCTCCCTCATCTTGTACATGGAGAATCTTGTCACCGCAGTTACATCAATTTCTTCGTTTAAATACCAGAATATAGTACGAGAATTTCCGTGAAATTCGCGAGACGAAAACAAACTGCGTAACAAACGATACGTCCCTCGCGTTTGACCCAATTTTCCCGGTTTAGCAATTTATTATGCCTGTTATCTTGCACAATAATACCGACGCTGCCATTCTCTTTGAATTACACTGCGCGTCGCAGGTCAGCAATCTTTTTACTGCCGATGATCCAGCTTGAACAAGGGGTTCTCAGAAGTTCCTGGCTGTATTTTCATTCTTGCCGATGCTTATCTACCATCTATTTCCGTTCTCCGCTGTGCAACGCCGATAACGAAATAACAAACGTCGAACAATAACGAACGTTTACTATTAGCTTGCAACATTGTCGGTGTAGTGTACGTTTGAAAGAATGCGCGTGTGTACGCGTGTATTTTCCAGGTCATCCAAAGGAACGTGCGAGATGCGAGATCGAAGCAGAGCGCTATGTACGCCATTACAGCGGCTGAGGCGTCCTGCGGATTGATTTCTTCTTGTTTGCCTTCGTTGCTGCTCAAAGTGATGCTAAATCAGCTAACGAGAAGGTATTCCCTCTCCTTGACTCACGTAGACGGTGATCTACCCGTGGAAGGCGTCGACGCGGTGATGTACTGGAGACCACCTCAAGGCAACTGCAGTAAATGTTTCACTAAAGATTTCACACTAACAAAAATCGTCTTCTTACTCGTTCTTCTAACACGTTCCGTGGTATTCTCGAAAGCTGCGAGGTCAGATTTTTCGGAAGTGACAATTAGAAAAGCGTAAACGTAACATTTAGAAGTTTTTCAACTTTTTTTTAATCCATTCGAAAGAAACGACTCGTTATTTGTTCAATCCACGTCGTGTACATACGTCTTACTGAAATTGATATTACCAATTAGTACTGGAAACACTGGCGGAGAGATAAGATCGGATGAAGATAAAGAAAAAAGTGTGTAAAAATTAAAATCGATATTGACTTGATGTTGAAGTAAAGAAAATGAGTAGTCTACGATTAGAAATTCTGAGGAATATTTCGAATGGGTTAAAATACACATTATGGAATTTTTCTCCTGTACAACTGTGGATAATAATTGAACTTAAGCCGAATTTTATATTCGAGCGAATGTTCTATTCGATGTTCTTGCGATTTTCGTAGACGGAATGTGTTTAATTATCGTGGCACGGAACGTGTTAATTATCGTTGACTCGAGATACGATTCTTTATGCCTTCTTTCTTCCAATTCTGCTCGTTCTTTTTCTATTAATATTTTCGAATATTAATATCCTCTCCTCTCTGGACGCTTTATTTTCAGTGCTCATTAACGCGCGCCCCGTGTTCGTCATTTTTTTTAGATATGTCGATAACTCTACACAGGTACGGAAGCAGTGTACGACTCGGCGTGATGGGCGATGCGTTAATTGGCCCCGAGCACGCAATTATCACTAGGACCTTTCCGAAAAGTGTGGAGAACCTCGCGAATGTGGTCGGTGTTCCAAGAGTTTCGAGCAGAAATTCGACTCCCAGTCCGACTAGTCCGAGCATTTCTCCGGGACATTAAAAATGTACGGGAGATTATGCAGAAACAGGCGAGGCTTTAATTAAAACCTGAATCGTTGCTTAATGTAGGATTACCGTTGTTAATTTAGAGCTTCCGGTAAAACCTTGAATACAAGTAAAAAGAATTGCATTACAAAGTGGTGTAGTGCTTTAGTAATATTAATTAATTAACAGCGTTCTATTAGTATCGCGGTAGTATCTTACTTCGCGCTACATCTTTCATCTTCTTCTTTATTTACGGAAAGTTTTACTTTTTCGATAATCATCGTAGGATGATTTAACCGACTAAGGTAAAAAAATCGCAGATACACAGACATTGCACAATTTTGTCGTTTACCGATAATTCGATCTCGGCACTGTTATCTTTCTTATGTATTTCTTTTTATTTCTGCTTGCTTACACATTTGCAATTTCATATTAGAAACGAATTAATATCGTTTATCGCCGCGTCTCTGACGTTATCTGTAAGTAATGTGAATTATTTTTCAGATCGTGTACGTCTCTCGAGAAGATAGAAATTCGTGTTTTCTGTCTCGGGAAATCGAGCGAAACTCCAATTTGGAAACGGGATGAACACCGGATGTTGGGAAATTGTAGACTTTCGGAGGAGATTTGTATGTAGAATTTGTTATTTAAACGCGTTGGATAATATTTAACATTTTTTTACACGATCTGCATATGTTTAAAGATAA